TTTTTTTTTTTTTTTTTTTTTTTTTATCACATAGACGCAGCCGGAGGCTGCGTTCCTTTTTTTTTCCGCAGCGGGGGTGGAAGAGAAGAAGACAGGAAAAATCCAATCCAATGTGTGTGCTTGTGAAATTTATTTTTCTCACAACTATGAATTTTTTTTTGTCTCAATATTCGGCTATTCGGCTCTGCTTCGACTAGACTTCGGCTCCACAATCTTCGGCTCTCTACAATTCGACACTACTTCGGCTTCACTCAGTCCCAGGGCTTGACGCTTTTATAATTTATTCTAGAGATATTTCGTGATGCAACCATGACGGAGTAGACGCCACTTGACCATTCTTCTCTTATACGCATGCGTAAAGCTCTTGAGCATGCGCAGACATTATTACACACAGCATCTTTTCGTGTCCCACATGGATGAGATTCACCATACACTTTCATATATATACTCAAACCAACTTCTACTACTAATATCTACACTTATAAGGCATCTGCCGATTACGTTTACGTACGTTATAATCCGTGAAAGGGTGATGACCTGACTGACGCTCACACGACTGATCACAATTCACAATTCACAATTCACAATACTCAATATTCGGCTACACTTCGGCTACACTTCGGTTACTCAATATTCGGCTCTACTTCGGCTACACTCGGTTCCAGTTTGACTGAGCCGTTTTTTAATTTATTTACAAACTCGGACCCAGTCTCCGCGGGAATGTCAATATGGACTACCTAAACTACTCATGGCAATCGAAGATGTGATTTACGTGATCGGAGTCGTGGTCTCCCGGGAAACTTAGTTTTAAATGTGACAGGGTAGGGGAAGCCTATAACCCCATATGAAACCCAACTAAAGCTCTATTAAAGATACACGACCGAAGTCAACTTAGCGGATGACAAAGGAGGATCCAATTACGGATACAGGCTATACGAGGGAAACCATGAAGGGGAAGGTGAACATAAAAATCTTATCATGGCCGAAGTACTTGCCACAGACGAAGGTGTTTTGCCAGACTCAGCATCCATGTTGAAATCGAACTAGAGTAGGAGCCTCTCCATATTTCCAGAAGGTCACCTCTCCAGGTATAAGTAACTATCTTCTGGGAAAGACCGACGAGTACTTTGAAGAAACTTCAAGTCTTTTAGAAGCCTTACGGGTTATAAACTGTTCAAAGATGGACACGTTCTGGACCTACAAGTCCATGAAGCCATAGAACATTTACCTTTCGGAAGCCTAGTATCAGACC